TAAGGTATCTTGAAGTGGGGATCCCCCGTGTGGGTTCCGGGGCCCCATTGTGGGGAAAACAAGAAAAGACCCACTGCCTTCCCAAAAACATGTCTTAAGAGTCGACTAATTGGGGAGCTTCCTTTGAAGTCGGAGTGCATCTGCCAGAGAGGCAAGGAACCAACAGACTGTATTCAAGAGAATGAGATCTGTAAAACTGATGCACACGCAACACTCAGGTTCTGGAGCAGGACTGCCGTTCAGTAGTGGACGAGCAACCAGAATCTTCCGCCAGAGTTTACAACTGGTGAACGCGAAGAAGAAGAAGAAGCAGTGGGGATACCTGGTTTCTTGTCATTATCATCATTATCGTCATCATCATCATCATCAATGCCTTGCCAGCTGGCAACTCCACAGATCTCGGTCTTTGCGGTTCTGGATCAATTCCACGGATGATATTGCTCCATGCCACTATCTTAAGCCATCCACCATCGTACTCTCTAGGTCTGCCTCTGCCTCTTCTACCAGTGATCTCTCCAGTCGTCATGATATTTTCCTGTGTTCTTTTTCTCATCACATAACCTTGTCATATCTTCCTGAAAAGTTTAAAAAAAACGTTAGAAAATTTGCCGCAAGAGATTAACAGTGTTCAGTTGAACCTATGTGTGCGGGCCGTTATTTTCCTTCATGAAAGCAACACTAACATCTAATAGAATAAGGCGGACTGATCAACACTTGTTATTTGTGATAAGAGGGGAAGCTGACAGACATTTCAACCAGACGTAGCAAAAGGGTTAATTAAGAATAGGTGTACAAACCTCAGGACGAAAAAAAAAAAGTAAATAAATATTTGTTTTGAACTGTTGTAATCTTTGTTCAGTGCATATATTGCCGTTACATACAAACCTGCGTTGCTGTTTAAAATGTCATGCCTTGTACCCTCTCTTCGTTCAACTACTTCATTACTTTGCATTGATAACTATGGTTGTCCGTTAGCCTATTTGTATGCACATTATATGGTTTAAGTTAAAGTCAGAAAAATTTCAATTCTTATAGAAATATTTCAAATCGATGTCACATGTGCGGTCCTCATGGGGTACACATTTGACACTTCCCGTGTGGGTTCCGGGGCCTCATTGAAAAAAAGAGTAGATTCATTGCCTCTCCAAAAAGGATGTCGGAATTGTCGACTAACTGAGGGCTTCCTTCGAAGTCGGGGTACATTTGCCTAAGAGGCAAGAAACCAACAATCTGCATACAGATAAATCTGATATGCAAAACAGATGTGCACGCAACACTCATGTTCTGGAACAAAACTAAAGTTCAGAAGTGGACGAACAACCGGCATTTTCCACCGACGAAGAAGAAAAAGACATACGGCCCTGGGTGGGCCGCAGTTAGGACATGCTTGTGCTAGAGGCTGAAACAGACAGGGTCAACATGTGACAGAGAAACCCGCAGTCAAACACGGCAAAGAGAATTGGGGAATGAGATCAAAACCACAGGAAGGAGATGGGATAAGCTGCACGCGGTGGTACACAACAGGTCGATTTGGCTTGGGCGTTATATGAACAGTGTGAGGAAGAAGAAGAAGAGGAGGAAAAGGAGGAAGAATAAGACGAAGAAGAAGACGAAGAAGAAGACGAAGAAGAAGAAGAGAAGAAGAAGAAGAAGAAGAAGAAGAAGAAGAAGAAGAAGAAGAAGAAGAAGAAGAAGAAGAAGAAGAAGAAGAAGCAGAAGAAGAAGAAGCATTACTACTCAGCCCACGCAGTCCCACATCTCTGTTGCCCAATGCGTTACATCATCAAAATACAATCAAACATTGGGGTTTCCCCCTCCAGCTTCCTGGTTCCATGGGCTCACGCGTGGTTCTCGGCCCTCCACGCAGCAAAGCCATGTCTCTGTCAAATGCTATTCTGGTGACCATATTCACACACACAGTACACTTCTGGAAGTAAACAACTAGGCCTGCATGACCTGCTTAGTATGTCCTTCACGTGACGTCTGCATCGCGTGACATCAGCAGTTATCTACCCTATCTGGAATTGCTGGTGTTTACGCGCCGACCCTAGCGCACTACCCCCCGCCTACACTTGGTTTGTACGCGCTGGCTTTTTAGCATTCGTTACCTCTAGGCGCCCATTGACGTCCTGGTGCTATTATATTTATACTACAGCGGTTCTAACAGTGCACTACAGTTTTCTGATTTAAAGATTCGACTTCATAGAGTACTAGTAAGTAAGGTAAAACTAACGTTGGTCTTCCCATTTACAGTGTTCCACACTAGCTCACTTCTAATTGGTCGACATTGAGCCACGTGACCTTGGCACAAGGTTACAAAGGTTTCCCCGCAAATCCGTTGACATCGCGTGTTGTATATTACAGCACTAAAAAAAAAAAAAAACATGGACAAACTAGGTCTAACACAAACTCCCTTGTGAGTGCTGCAACCCATGTCACAGGCATTCTCTTTCTCGGAATAAAAACGTAAATTCAAGACAACCTAGAAAGCAAACAACAGAGCGGCACACCCGTAACCTGCAGTAAGGAAGACCAACCCAACAAACTTATGAGTGAAACGTGATCTACTTTGTTTATGGGAAACCAACGTTAGTTTCACCTTAAGTAAAAAGTAAGGCAATGATCCAGTTTCACGCTTTTAGGCGCATCGGGCATTTGGGAAGAGCACCCATATTTTTCACAGACCAATCGGCACTAGGTGGGTAATGTAATTAACATTATGCCGGTCGTCTTTACTTCCCTAGGACATACATCCTGGTACCCATTTTATGCTGGGCCGACCAACGACGCCCCATACCACGATAAAAATCCACGCAGCCAGCAGTGGGTTTCGTTGGCGGTACGTTGGAATTACGAGTCGGACTCGCAACGCATAACCCACGGACGCTGCAAAGAGTACTGAACACACACATAAATACTCAGTATCTCGTAGCAAATGTATTAAGTTGTAGTAGATCAGAGTTGGGCAAACCATAACTCACAGAATAAAGCTAACCCACAGAGTCTGATACGATTACTGCATGTGTGGCCGCTTGTCCGAGTGCTCTAGGAGCAGGATTTATCTCCCTAGTCATACTTGACATAGCTGCTTGAAAAGGCCACAACCCTCTTTTATAGTCTTCCCCATCCTTTGTACTGTGTATGCCTATGCTGAACTTATACTGCGCTTCATGGACCTATGGGTGTAGGTGACAATCACTTCTGAGCAGGAGTGCTGATCTATTGGTGCCTTTTTCTCGGTGCAGGAATATGGTAGCTGCAGTACCTCTCAAGTGTGATCACAGTCTTAGAAAGGTCACGCATGTCTACTATATATACTAATATTGGATTTCGTAGCGAAAGCCAAAGGAAAAACTTTAGTGCGAGACAGCCTAGCATACGACACCACAACATCTAGCATGAGAATGGAGGTGGAGGCGGTAACTGCAGGTCTCCGGTCGTTAGAGAACAATATGCATACACATGTCGTAATTGTAACAGACTCTGAAGGCATGCTTCTCAAGGCTATGCCGGCGTATTAGGTAATGAACAGGCAGACATATTTGCTGGATCTGCACCACTGGGTGGTGAATTGATACTGGACAAGGTAGATGTGGTCAATGCCCTTTGGGAACAAGCAACAGAATCAGTAGAGAAAGAAGATTATTATGGCCTGGAGATAATGAAGCACTTGGGTGTAACCAGAGGATCTGGCCGGCTCACTACACTCATAGGAAAGGCAAGGTGGACATCTAATCAGCTTGTGACCAGTACCATCAGTATTAGAACTGGCTGTCTGCTGAAGATGAGGACTGAGCATGCATGGGCATGTCCTGAGTGCTGTGATGTCAATTTTTTTTTTTACTCAACTTGACTACTAACATACCTATTCATTGTGCCTAGATGTAGAATTAGTCTGTTTTAGAATACCACAATTATAAATGACAAAATGAACTTTGCGGCAATAAAATCTTCATCAGCATAAACACCAATGGATAATGAATCGGTTTCAAACAACATACTTACATGGACTCATCTGTCACGGCATCTCTATACTTCGCGTGACCAGTAGACACCCGTAAACGCGTTTTGTTGCAAGATATTTACACTGGACAGGAAGTAAACCCGAGACGTGGGATAGGCAGTAGACAGGTTGTTACACAAAGGGGCATAACTCAGTTTTAAAGATAAAACTGTTGGATATTAAGATCCTTAGAAGAGAGGGGACCCAAAAGGTTTGAGGGCACTATACTTATAGCCCACGACATATTCCCACATCTTTTTGGGGAGCTGCATGGTTTTGAGGCATGGCGTCAGTCTCGAGTGCTGGCAGTCCCGGTTTCAGGCCCAGATGAAGGCATGGATGTTTGATTTTTCCACGTGGACTTCTAGTAATGTCCACTTGTTTTTGGGTAGTAAGATCGGGACGCCCATATGTACTACTGCACACGTGAAAAATCCCTTGGCAGTTGGAAATCAAAAAGAGTAGCCTACCGGCGCTGCTTGGGCAAAATTTTGATTTAAAAATCTACCTTAAGTATTTTCAGGATCCCTGTTGGTGCTACGGAGTTCGTGCACTGTTTTACGAGGGTTCGGACTCCGGCTTGAGTCAGAAGTAGCGAAGCACGTATGGGTTACCCCTTGTGCTATGATGTTGATCCGTCGTCTCAACATAAACTATGCCTATAGCCATGCCGCTGATCTAACCAGTAAACTCGACAGAGCTGAAAGATGGCTAGCTGTAGCACGAATGTTTCTGCAGTCTAGAAATAACAATACAGACCGTCACAGTGAGACATAGACGTGCACAGAGAAGACGCAACCAGTGTGCTAGCTGGACAAAGACGGGAGCTGCCTGGACTGGAAGCAGAGACAGCGTCCCTGGTGTCTTTGAAATGGAAAAAAAGTCTAGCTACCCTCGACCCGTCTTTAAAAGGGAAAAGAAGTCTAGCTACCCTCGACCCGTCTTTGAAATGAAAAAAAAGTCTAGCTACCCTCGACCCGTCTTTAAAAGGGAAAAGAAGTCTAGCTACCCTCGACCCGTCTTTGAAATAGAAAAGAAGTCTAGCTACCCTCGACCCGTCTTTAAAAGGGAAAAGAAGTCTAGCTACCCTCGACCCGTCTTTGAAATGGAAAAGAAGTCTAGCTACCCTCGACCCATCTTTGAAATGGAAAAGAAGTCTAGCTACCCTCGACCCGTCTTTGAAATGGAAAAGAAGTCTAGCTACCCTCGACCCGTCTTTGAAATGGAAAAGAAGTCTAGCTACCCTCGACCCGTCTTTAAAATGGAAAAGAAGTCTAGCTACCCTCGACCCGTCTTTAAAATGGAAAAGAAGTCTAGCCACCCTCGACTCGTCTTTAAAATGGAAAAGAAGTCTAATTACCCTCGACCCGTCTTTAAAAGGGAAAAGAAGTCTAGCTACCTTCGACCCGTCTTTGAAATGGAAAAGAAGTCTAGCTACCCTCGACCCGTCTTTGAAATGGAAAAGAAGTCTAGCTACCCTCGACCCGTCTTTGAAATGGAAAAGAAGTCTAGCTACCCTTGACCCGTATTTAAAATGGAAAAGAAGTCTAGCTACCCTTGACCCGTATTTAAAATGGAAAAGAAGTCTAGCTACCCTTGACCCGTATTTAAAATGGAAAAGAAGTTTAGCTACCCTTGACCCGTCTTTGAAATGGAAAAGAAGTCTAGCTACCCTCGACCCGTTTCTTTTCCGTACTTCTTCTTTTTAGCTTTTATCGGCTGTAAACCCCGGCAGAAAGTTCTGTTGGTTCGTTCACTTCTGGACTGTAGTCTTGTTACAGAACATGTGTTTTTATGTGCGCATTTGTTTTATAGATCTGGTTTATTGATATGCGGATTGTTGGTTACTCGTCTGTCCTGCTGATGAACGCCGACTTCCAAAGAAGCACACCATAATTAGTTATCTTTTAAGATATGCTTGTTAGGGAGCCAGTATGGGTTATTAGTTTTTCGCATAAAATGGGGGCTACAAACCCACGGGAGGGGGAGGCATGGCGCTGCCTTGAATGCTGGCGGTGCCGGGTTCAAGCCCTGGTAAAGGATTGGATTATTTTTTTCACGTGGACTTGTAGTAATTTCCCCTAGTCTTTGAGTAGTAAGATCAGACGCCCGTGTGTAAACAATTTAGAGTTAGGAAATGTACCCAAAGTATATTAGGATCCTCGCCGGTACTACGGAGTTCGTGCACTGCGCTGAGATTCTTTAAACTCAGGCTTGAGTCAGACGTGTAGAACGGAGCACATCTGGGTTTACTACCCTTGCACCTTAATGTTGGTCTGTCATCTTAACCTGAACCTAAACTGTTTGAGAATCACCCAAATAAGGCGAGAACCAGCGATCAATACATTGCAAAAAAAAAAAAAAATCCAATTATCGTATCCGTCCGGTGTTATAAATTACCCCCTCCTCTTTCACCCTGCTCCACCACCATCATCGCCACCACACCTAACGCCACCGGCTCGCAAATGCTGCTTTTTTCGATAACATCTGCCCGGCTGATTGAAGAGGTTGGGTCGTCAATAGAAATGACGTCACCTGTGGCCTCGATATGGCATTCATTGTTTAGCATTGCTTTCTTGGTAGGGGTCATGGCAAAACGGTCCAGGCGATCAACACGTACACACGTCATTTAGTCTAACCACGCAAGGCAAAACCTGTAAGGTCTAAGGAGAAACTCGTAAATATTTCTAGAAACTTCTAGTATTTTTTAGTTCTCCACTCTCTATCTTCTCTCTCCCTTCCCCCATTCTAACCACCACGTGCCGTGCCGGGATCAGATGCGAACGCGTTTTTCCACAACTATAGCTTTTTAAACTTCTCTCTCTCTCTCTCTCTCTCTCTCTCTCTCTCTCTCTCTCTCTCTCTCTCTCTCTCTCTCTACCTTGCTGTACCCCACCAGGACATTACACAAGCGATAAACACCCAGTGACACAAAGTGCCACCATGCGGATGAGGATCACCCTTGGAGAGGCCCAGAAACCCCTTTCATCCGCTGGGCCATATTTATGGCCCGGCTATATTCAGGGCCCCCGGCAAAAGCCAGGGCGGAGCTTCAAAAAACGAACAATTGCATCCCACATGGGGACGGCTAATATATTGATATATAGATTTTTTTCGTACGAGTTATAAGTTGCGTTATCTTCACGACACCCTGGAAACATCCTAAGATGCTTAGATGCTCCCCCCTCCCCCCAACTTATACACCAGCATCCCGTGGTTAATTAGATCTGTCTTATGCTGGTTGATAGATCTTATCGTGTGTGCTTCTCGTGCCTGGCTGTGCCGATCTTTACTCTCAAATCTCGCAATCTTGGTAGCGATGTAGAAGCACTACTCCTAACATTCTTCCGATCTACCTCATCTCTAAGGGTTTCAACCATGTCAGTGCGATCCATACTACGGCTATCAGGCAGAGCCGGCCAGCCTGTTAGGTCTTTCGTTTCCAACAACACCCTCATGCCCTGGGACAAAATGAAAGTAACTAGTTATTATTTCCTTTTCCTTATGTTTGATCATTGGTTAGTTGCGAATATCTTAAAGTTAAAGTTAAACTCGAGATGATCGTCTTAATTGCACCAGGTTTTATACCCTAGAGCTCAGCATCTCTCCACATAGCTACCTGCAGAAACAATCCAGTGCGGCTATTCCACAGTGAATTTAACGATGTGCATTTTTTCCCAGTCGTTATTATAAACTCTTCTTTTCACACTCGATCTCTTTAGGTTTTGTTCGCATCTTTTCTGAAACATGTAATTTCTACATTTGGTTAGTGTTTCGTTAATAAATGTATTTATACATCCAAACTAAGATCATGACAAACAGTCCAAACCAACAAACCAGTGACCATAAATAACTAAACATTTGAAAATGTAGAACATTTCACAAATCTTGGCAGTGTGTTGTCCCTACTGGGAGGGACAGAGGAAGACATACAGTCACGTCTAAACGAAGCTAGAGCTGCTTTTGGAATGATGGGGCAAATCTGGAATTCCAACAGTTACTGCAGAGGATCGAAACTTCGACTCTACAAGAGCATCATTTTGCCAGTTCCTCTTTATGGATCAGAGTGCTGGAGAATGAATAAAAAGGATGTACACAAGCTGTCCACCTTCCACCACATATGTCTACGTAGAATTATCAAAATTTTCTGAATTACAATATCAAACATTAAACTACTTTAAGTCACAAAAAAAGGGAAAAAAAAGGGGGGGGGGGGGCACCCGAAAACAACATGGAGACGAACGATGGAGAGTGACCTAAATATGGCATCTCTGACATAGAAAACTGCACTGAAGATTGCACAGGTCAGGAGAGCATGGAAAGTCCTCTCTGAAGCCTGATGGACCACTTGGCATAAAGAGAACTGATGACAATTGATGATACATCCAAACGTTCATTGACGTACCCACTTGACCAGCCATTGGTTCATTCATTCATTAATTCATTTGTTCATTCATTACAAACACATTTGCTGCCACGCTGCTAAAGAAATAGAAACCATCATCACTCAACATTTAGTTAGTTTGGTCTGCATCTCAAGGGACTTGTTCTTCTTATTCTCCAAATACAGCTCTCAGAGTGAGGTATCGTGAAGTGGGGATACCTGGTTTCTTGTCATCATCATCATCATCATCATCATCATCATCATCATCATCATCATCATCATCATCATCATCATCATCGTCATCATCATCATTCTCATCATCATCATCATCATCATTCATCATAATCATAATCATCATCATCATCATCATCATCAAGTACCTTTCCAGCTGGCATAGGCGTTCATACAACTCTAAAGATCACGGTCTTTGATGTTCTGGAACAATTCCACGGATGATATTCCTCCATGCTACTGTCTTGAGCCATCCACCATCGTTTCTCTTGGTCTGCCTCTGCATCCTCTACCAGTTATCTTTCCAGTCGTCATATTTTCCATTGCTGCTTTTCTCATCACATGACTTTGTGTCATTTCTTCCTGAAAACAAAAAGTTAGAAAGCTTTCCTCAAGAGATTAACAGTGTTCAGTTGAACCTATGTGTGTGAACCGTTATTTTCCTCCATGAAAGCAACAAAAACATCAAATAGAATAAGGCGGTCTAATCAACACTTGTTATCTGTAATCAGAGTCGAGGCTACAGGGACATTTTAGCCAAACAGCAAAAACATCTAATAGAATAAGGCGGACTGATCAACACTTGTATCTCCGGTCAGAGTCGGAGCTGCAGGGACATTTTAGCCAGAAAGCAAAAACATCTAATAGAATAAGGCGGACTGATCAACACTTGTTATCTGTAATCAGAGTCGGAGCTGCAGGGACATTTTAGCCACAATTAGCAGGAAAAACTACAACATAGCACCAGCCCCATTACACGCATAACTCCAGGGGTACTTTACACGTGTTCTTTGGCAATGGAGGACACATCGAACTGCGTTGTTAAGATAATGATGGCCATTGAGAGCAGATTATATCAAATACAAAATTGTTTTTCTAGAAAAAATGTTTATCTATTCTGTGTATGAAAAAAGGACACCTGGTACAGTAGAGACACTGTTATTTCATGTACCCATTTATTCATGTTTTTATCAGTTAATTCATTCAGGCATTTATTCAACTATAGTTCGTTCAACATCTCATGAACACACTTGCAAGCCATTTTCTCGGAAAACTACCTGTTAGATCGCAACGATTTTTTTGCAAGCAGCCTAAGAATATCAATGACGCAAAAAAAAAAAAAAAAAGGTGGTATTCTTTAGTCCGCAGATGTTCAGGATGCTAAATACCAGCCAGTTCCTTTGATCATTGAAAATAAATAGGTGAAATTTTTTTGATTGTTCCCGTTCTTTTTTTTTTTTTTGTGTGGTCAGAGTCGTGTTTTCATAATACATTAATAGGTGAAGTAAATTTATTTGTTGTCATTTATGTTTAACTGAGTTGAGCTGAGCTGAGTAAAGAAAGACATCACAGCACTCGAGGCATTCCAATGTGCGCTTGGTCCTCATCTTCAGCAGCCAGCGCAGAGTTTCAATACAAATGGTACTGGACGCAGTCTGATTATGTGTGCGTCTTGCCTTTCCTCTGAGAGTAGTGTGCCGGCCAGGCCCTCTGGTCACACACATGTGTATCATTCTCTTCAGGCCATAAAAAATCTTATTTTTTTCTTTTCAGACTTCATTACTTGTTCTCAAAGAGCCTTGACCTCATGTGCCTTGTCACGTACCAGCTGACCACTCAGTGGTGCAGATCCAGCCAATCTGTCTGCCTTGTTCAGTTGAAAACATGTCCCCAATATACAACAGTTAGTATTTCCCTCCGGCCACCATTTGACCACAATGTGTATCTTAACTGCACAGCAAATTGTATTACGGTTGACACATTTGGATATAACGATGTATTTGCTGCAATTGTAGATGCACCTAACGGGTTGATGATATTCACACAATCATCGAAAAAATTGTTTTAATCATTCCAAATCTGACGATCCC